TTTTTTTTATTATACAAAGATTATATCTACGTTAATATATTTACTGAACAGGAATTTATAAATTATATTTTTTTGTTATAAATAATATCTATTAAATGCCAATGTAAACGCATTTTTTCTATATTCTTGGATACAAAGATTGTCTTTTAATCGAAGAGTCTTTATTGTTATCTTTCAGGTATACGTTAGTAAATGTACATGATTGTACTGCTGAAGAATCAAAAAGGATCTTCGTTGCAGAATGTTACCTTTCGTTGATTCTTATGGCACCTTTCTATGCCGCGTTGAAAACTTAGAAAATCAACTAAATCCAAGTTTCCTTAATTGCTTCTGAAAGCAATGATTTTGACAATATTTTAATGATACATTCTTTAAAATCAAATTATGAAATTAAATAATATACATTAAAAATTTATTTTTATTAAATGCTCTATTATTATTAGTATTTTATTTTATTAATATCAACGATAAAGACACATGTATCTCATTATTCGTCAATGTACTCGTTCGTAATTACATTAAAAATTATTATTTATTTATTTGTTTTCAATAAAAAGTAATATTTTACCAACAATGGAGAAAAAACACGTTTCTTTGACATAAATTTTAATTTCATGCATTAAAAAAATGATAAATAGTGATTAAATTATCGAGAATAAAATATTCGAGAATTGCATAAATACATATAATTTATTATGCGAAAATTTGCAAAACATTGACTATTATTGATTTGATATTAAAATTATTGCTACTGGAAACAGTTTTAAATAAAAAACCAAAGAGAAAACCAGCATTCATTCCTTTTTACAATAAAATAAATTATTTCTTTATTTATAATAAAAAGAAGAAAAAAGAAAAAGAAATATCTGTAGCTAGCTAAATATTATTATTTATATTATTAGCTATGTTTAACTTCCTTACACACAATCTATATAATGTTTTGTCTGTGATTTAGTCACATCACTGAGAATTTATTTCTTAGAGTTGGTAGGGTTGGCAGAAGAAATGGACAAACTTCGAGCTGATACTGGGCATCTGGACAACACAAACCTCTTTTCGTTACGCGCTCAGTTTCGCTACCATGGAATTCCCTATATATTTTAGCGTTAGCTGCACTTTAGATACAGACATAGTGATATTCGCACTTTTCATCTTACGTCTCGAAAATTTATACTATTTTGCAAATCTTTTTTGTATTGTAAAAATTATCTGTTAGAGTTTTCGATTTTGCAGTTAATTTTGCAGTTTGGCTCCTAAAAATTTATAATAAATTCAATATGAATTCGATTGTAGTACACCTGGTCTGCAGTTAACTGTATGTTGTTTGTCAGTTTTCGATTTTATTTGGACCATTTTCCAAAAAATAACTTTATAATCAAAAGAAAACGATGCTGCTGATTAGGAATATTATAATTAGATTGTGATTTCTCTTTTATTTATTTATTTGCACGAAAAATATAAATCTGTAATTCATGACTTTTTGCGAGAGGTCACCACCATATGTTTCCATCGGAATTTTGTATTTACACCATAATCGATTCGAAGTTCGGCCTCCAACCAGCTCATCAAAGTCTAACCTAAACTTGAACCTAACGTTAAGTTGAGAGTTATTATGAATATGAATTGATTTCATTAACTTAGTTTACGCGATCAGTATGAAAGTACCACCATCAAATTTGCTAGACTATTTATGAAACATGGGAGATAAAGGTATTTAATTGTTTTTTTCTCGCAATAAAATATTATCTTAATTTACTTCCAATCTTTTGCAATATATAAACATGTATTTAAAAGCACGTTTATAACAATATATTTTTTTTAAAACAAATTGTAGTGCATATGTTTAAAGACTAAATTGTATATTATTAGCAAAAAAATAGTGATTTCTGTTTATTCATTATTATTAATTATAGAGATATAAAAGGCTTTCAATAACTGTAAAAATTATTCTAAAATTAATGGTTATTAATTATAAAATTATAGATTCTTAACTGACAAGTTTCAATAATAAAAATTTTTTAAACTTATTTTTTAATAAAATCTAAAGATTATCTTACTCTTTAAAATAAGAATATAATTTTTTATTTTGTAATAATGTATAAAATGTTAAAACAAATTTTTATTGATTGAAATTATTCTTTATATAATGTTATTCTTTTTCCGTGTTATAAGTATGTAGTTATACATTTTCTATTAAAAATTTTTCCTTGTGTTAATCGCGTATTGAAAGTGATTCAAATATTTTACGTCAATTTTGAATACATTTTTCTCCATACAAATATTGAAGTTTATTATTTCTAACAATTTTTATAATTTTCCAATCTTTAATTATACATCTCTCCATTTAAGTTAAATTTATTTCTTTGTGAAAGTAAAGTCTATTTAAAATTAATTAATTTGGTAAAGTTTATTTGAAATTAAACAATTTGTCTTTATTGTTAGTGCTTAATTTTAAAAAAGTTAATTTATAAAAAGTGTCATAAATCCTTAATTTATTCAAAAGTTGTGTGTCTTTTTTTACATATACATTTGCATTTATTAAAAAAATTCTTCTTGTGTTATTGTTAACTTAATTAACTCTTATACTCTTATACAGAGCACCATGTACATTTTAGTGGTGGAAGTGGACTGGAAAGGATAACAATATTATGATACAACCTCAGAGACATGGCCACATTGATGCTCACTTAGGATTCTTACAATTACATCATAGGTTATTTACTGCATAAAACTTAGAAATTATATAGTTAATACTATTTTTCAGTTTGACAATTATTATCTCAGATACTAAGATTTAAATAATTTTTATCATGATGATTTTAAAAGTTTTTTTATTATTTTTATCGATATATATAAAAATATATAAATAAAAGAACACAGTAAATATATGAATATGTAAATATATATAACATTAAATATAGATATATAAATCTTTCTTTATTGCAGATATCATATAGAATTCTCAATACCATGGAACACATGTACTCATGCGGAAAAAGAAAAAAAAGAGGAGGTGGAAGTTCCGCCTCCGGCAATAATTGCAGAAAATCACAATCCAAACTGTCACATTGTCGATCTTGCACAAGAAAAAGACGGTTAAGGTATAAAAATTTATATTTTTTTCGTAAGATAAAATTTCAAAACTATAATAATTAATTATACGTGAAATGGTAAAATATACTTTATCGCTAGTAATGCTAAAAATGATCCTAAATCTAATATATATAAATTATATTATCATAAATAAATTATTTGCGACATAAATCCGCGCCTAACTTTGTTTGCACGTAATTAATATATTGTATTTTTTTATGCTCGATTATTATCTTTTTTTTAATTAATTTAGATGTATAAATATTAAAATAATTGATTCCTTTATCAGATTGAAGATAGAATTGCTGGCATATAAAGAAAAAATATAAAAGAGAAGTCCAAATAATGTGTTGTTCATCAGGTACACCATTGAAAATTGTATTAAACGCACGTGTTTTGGCGAAGGATAAGGGCACACCATTGTTAAGAAATGGCATACGCAGTATTGCTATAGAAGGAGTAGACGAAGACGAGATTTCTGAATAAATCTGCTTGCTGTTGAGTTCTCGATGATAGAAGCGTCGAGCTTTGTCGAGTACCAAAAGTTCGAACAAATAAATAATCGGTGAAATTACATAACATTCTAAAACAGAATGGATAATGCAATCGTGAAAGATTAATGAAATGTTTCGCAAGATAAGATGCCTACTGAAGATTTGCCTACTGTTACTATTTTAAACATATATCACGAGCGAAATGCTTGCAAAAGCTATGACACCACTTATTATCTGCTAATTATATACCCACAGATTATAATGAACAAATTGTATTTTGTTATCGTTTTATATCGAAGTCAATTTTCAACGAAACTATCGCTAAATGAACACATTCGACAAAGCACTAATCATTTTTTAATTATGTATTCGTAAAAAAAAAATAAATAAATAAATAAAGATTAATTATTCGAATAAAGCAATCGATAAAATTGTCTTATGAATAACATTTGGCATCCTCGTCAAAGTTTCACCAATTTATCATTTACATACATACATTATCGTATTCGCGTTTATAGAACCAACATAAATGGTCAGTTCTTATTCATTATGTGTCTTCAATGACAGCAAAATTTAACATCGAAAATTGAATTTTTCATAGGGATTCCGGTTGGGCCGTCTACAAATTCACAAATATTAAAACCTAATTTCGCTAATGGATGACATTTACTACTGGGATTACCCCATTTGCCTTTAAAAGTCATCCAGCCTGGTAAAGGCTCGTTGTCCTCTTCCAAAAGCAATTCCAATTTTTCCACGTCGGCCAGGCAGTCCCAAATCCACTTTCATCGTACAGACGCGGTACACGAACGAATTTGTGCTTCCCCGAGCTGTCCAGAGCCCATGAGAGCCGCGCGCACTGAATAAAATCGGATGCGAGCCATTGGCGGTGTAACTTTTTCAGGAAATGTCGGCTTCTGGAAGAGACTCTTTCTTGTCTCTTGACTTTGGTAGACAAAAGTGCCATTTCGTGAATCATATCGATAAAATGCACCAGTGTCATGGGCCGATACATACATCGCCAGAGGATATTCGGTATCCTAAAAATGGTGATATCTGTGTATATATGTGTATACGTATGAATCTAGATAAATAATTACGAACAAATATCTGTAAATTTCTTTTTCAATATCGCTCCGATTATTTGTTTTACTAGAATACAATTTTTATGATGATTGATACACACTATATATGTATAAATAATTCTAAATATACAAAACAGATAAGATGTTCAATACTTACAATTTTTATCTTACATTAGTACAATCTGCCACGAGTATTATATTTTTAATTTTTTGAGATAGTTATGTATATATTACATAATAGATCGATTTTGTTTTAATTAGACAGTAGAAACAAACGAGCAAAAAAATTTATTTAAATCTTGAAAAAAATAATTTACCTTAAAATAAAGACTCATATGTTCCCAATCTCCTATGTGACTGCCGTATTCTTTGAGCGTACCTATGCACACTCCACCCATGGTAGGTATCGGCCAGCTACCGAAAAATCCAAGATCTAGTACACAGATCATCTTTCCCTCGCTAAATGGGTAGAACATCCAATAGGTCACGTGAAAGTGCACTTTTTGACGTTCATTCTTCTCTCTGACTTTTCGAATCGCGACTCTGTTTTATCTGAGATTAGTTTTCCGTGAAAAAAAGAGGAATTTTATATTTAAAAATATAACGATATAACAACTTTCTTAGAATTTTCTTTATAAAATAAATAATTAATATTTGGGATTCAATATTTAATATTTTTTTAAAAAGGCAATGTGTAAAAAAATTGCACTTATCTTCGTATCTTGTACCTGTCGCATTTGTTCTTGCAGTAAAATATGTGTTCTTAGATCATTGACATCGTTAGATTGTCGTTGAGACAAGAGCCCAGAATCCGGTAGCGTTAAAGTATTTTGTTCGCTTTTTGACGTCCGCTTAGCTTTTGTTATGCGTAGCCACGCGTCTCTGGAAATGCAGTTTTTCACAAGAGCGTAGACGGGCACAGTTCCAGCGGGTTTTCGACCATATAAAAAAGACGATTGATTCTTCAATAAGGATTCTATTAAAAAAAATTCGAAACATTGACAAGTTTGTTATACTCTTTTTCATACATATATACTTTTATGCCATATATGTTTGAGCAGTTTTTTTATTTATTATCCGTATGTCACAACTAGTTTGAATATTTACCTATGTCTAGTCTAGTACGAAGATAATATTGATCCGACTGTACGTTATCAAGAAATCGGTTACACCAAGGGGTAAGAATCGTTCTCCTGGCGCGAGCCATACTAAGGGCGCCCAATCACGTATCAGTCTTTTTACTGAAGCAAGAAAATATTTAATTATTAAATAAATATCTAATATATAATATATCTGTCATGCAGAAGGAGTCCACTGTGTAAATTACTCAAGATTCCACCTTGTACAAAAATAATCTTAAAATAAAGGTAACTGATCTGTAAAGTGTCTCTTATAGATTTTCACTAATTATTTATCAGAGAGTACGTTCAATGCAATACGCAATACAATTCAACCACGTGCACGTATATGTACGCACATGTGCATATGTATGTGTACATACATGTGTGCCGAAGATCGAGTGCACCTCTAACTCTCGGTTCGAGACTACATACTCAACTTCGCTATATCACGAGAAACGGGCACGTAGGTCAACGCGAGATTCTCGTAACCCCATTATACGAGTCTCGACGGTTAAACAGTCTTGCTCGTGTGTTCTTGTATAACTCATCTTGTTATACAACGATGAAAGGAGCGAAAAGAATACGCACGTATACGAAACATAGTACAATAAAATCGCATTTAATGGCAGACTCAGACGATTTGCGGTTAACTGCTTTACGGAAATAGAAAAGCCTTTCATTCATGCAATCTCTTATTGGAATCAGTTGCTTAAAAATTATATCAGATCGCCGTGGTACTCAAACACATGGTAAATAGCAAAATTATTTAATCGATTAATTAATATATAGATATATATTAAATAATTCTAATATGCGTCCTTGATTGTCAATCTTTAAAAATATTAATATACGAGCGAAATCGAAAATTAATGCGCAACTCGTTTTAATCCGCTTTAATTCATTTTGCTTCTTTCCATGGTGGAACCGGTCCAGAAATGGGACAACCAATATTGAACTCTGTACAATAACCTGTTTATTCGCATACGCGGAACAAATGCGAATGTTTTGCAGAAGGTATAGCAACCTCTTGTATCGACTTTATAACACTCGTTTTTAAAATCTTAAGTAAATTTCACTATTACATTGTCTTTTAACGACTGAGTAAGAACGCGTTTTATAATCCCGCGCTATATTTTATGATTGTGTTGTGCAATCTTAACACACTGTAGTCAATTTAAATTATATTTGACATCTCATACCGATTGTTATATTATTGTTAAATGAATTATTATATTATTCGTAAGAAATAAAATCAATTCTGCAATATTGCAGACCTGGTTATGCAAGATCTTGAGGATACAGTTCTCAAAGCGTTGAATTTGGAATGTTTGTTTTATTTTCGTTATGTGGATGACATAATAGTGGCCACCCTCTATGACTAATATGACTCAGATTGTGAATAATTTAACAACTATCATGAAAGACTTAAATTCACGGTCGAACAAGAGGTTAACCATAGCTTGAATTTCTTAGATTATCACTTAAAATTATTAATAACAAAAATATATAGACTAGTATCAAAAGAAACCTTCTCAGGAAGGACGTTATCATTTTATTCAAACCACCCACTATGCCAACAAAATGAATAATATATAACCTTGTAGACAGATGTCTATTGCTATCACATCCACTATTTTAATAAAATTTGGAGTTAATTATTAATATACTCAGAAGCAATGGTTACCCTCTTGATCTGATTTTTAACAAAATTAATCATCGGATAGAACACATCATATCTAAGGGAGCATTATAGAGAGACAGGCCAACATAGAAAGAACAAAAAGTATAAGAAATGACTCGCTCAATAAAAATTCTTTGTCATTCCGTATATAGATGGGATCTCAGAAATGATTGTTTCCTCGGTAAAAAATAAAAATTGTATGGTAGGGTATAGATGTCTCAACAAACTGGATAATATTATTAAAGCGCAGAAAGATAAAACTAAACATCCATGCAATTCGAATGTGGTTATAAGATCAGTTGCAATAATTGTAATGCATCTTATGTAGGCCAAACAAAGAGGCAATTGCAGACGCGAATAAAAGAACATAAAAATAATATTAGGTTGGACTCAACGAAACATTCAGTAATTTCTGAACAATAATAAATGAACATCATACTTTTAATTGGGACAATGTTAAGATCATGGACAACGAAAATAATTATTATAAAAGACTCATTTCTGAGATGCTACATATCAAGGAACAAAAAAATGGACTAAATTTAAACAAAGATACTGAGTTACTTAGCGAGTCGTATTTTGATATTTTGGATATATTAGCGAACAAGAAATAATAATAGGACAATAGGACATTACGAGTAAAACATAGATATTAGATCATATATAAACACGCACGCTCTCCGATCAAGTAGAGTTTAAAATGAGCGTCTTTCTGTATTGTTGGTTTGTTATGTGTCATCCTTAATAACTGTTAATAAGTAGCAAAATTATCAAGAAGAACGATGATAGGTAAGCATACTACCAATTGTAGGGGATACATATTATAATTTGGACATGCGTTGATCGGTAATTTTTATAAATCGCAGCGCCTACGGAACGGGTTAATTTCTCGCATATTAACGATGAAACTATCCGAGATCTGAACAAAATCAGGGATCATATCGAGGCGAACATTGTTGGACAGGACGGATTGAAACACGCGTTAATTACTCAAAAACTCTTGATTCTGAATAACTATAATTAAATTTCAATATTATGTGAATTGTAAGAATTTATATTTCAATAATTATACTGAAGAAGACCGCGTGCGGTCGAAACGTTTATAGAATGATTGTAATTTGCGTTAGTTTTAATATAATGACTGTAGTTTTATAATTTATACATGTAATAAATGGTAGTTGACTGAACATCTCGAATATTCAGCTCGATAAGTTGGCCTTATATTTATCACTTTGTTTCAATATACGAGCGACATTGTATTAATTTAAAATCAATCTATTTTTTATAATATTTTCCGCTGTTTATATGAATTTAAATAACATTTTTTTTAATTGATCGCGTAGTACTAATGATACTAATCATAATCAATAATAATTATGAAAAGCGAATAATTTAAATTTTAAATCGATCAAGGATCGATATTGCTTCATATATTGATAATCACGCGAATTCAGCCAATTAAAGTACATTTAAATTTCGAATAAATTGCGTGCAACTCGTGTATGACAACCCATGAAATAAATATAATATATTATTTGTTATATACACGCACAGAAAAACGAAATAAGACAAAAGATTTGTTTTAGTTTTCATTTCAATATATTCGAAGCTAATATCGATATATACATACATATATCTCATTTAACGAGATACATACCTCTTTTCATTGGCCGTGGGTAGCCGCAATCCCGCGACCGCACGAGTCAAGATCAGTATAACAAATAATAATCCAGTCATGTTCGTTCCATCGATGCATTTTGATACAAAAACGTGATCCATAATCACCGATCCGCGTGCTTCTTCACTTACTTCCGCATTCCTGATTTGCAATTAGGTACCTATACGAAGTAGCGATAACGTAAGAGAGACAGATAGTTCTCTTCGACATCGAAGCACTTTCTGGATAACTGACTAAAGCGCGACTACCTCGCGCGACTTTCCGCGCCGTTCACTAGACAAACGTTGCAGTCGCACGTATGTACAGCCTCGTAATGCAGGAGGTGTGTGTACATACGCGCATCCGTAACCGGACGGTGCTTGAAAGATATTACGAAAGAGAAGTCCCCAAATTAATATATGGTGAACGAAAAGGAAAGCGGAACAATAGAAAGAAAGAGAGAGTAGCGTATTATTATATTAATTATTCATACACAACACTGTCAGATATTGGTACAATATTTTTATACATGATCTATTTTTATGATTTTATTAAATATAAATCAACCTATTAATTTCTTACACATAAAACGCTGCCAACTATTGTATTATTATTTTGCAGGTATAATTTACTGATTTCTAAGTAAATGTAATTTAAATTTGTACCATCAATCCTCAAGCTAAGCATAGATAATCTCATTAAATCGCAATTTAATGCAACGAGGTTATTCTATTAATTGAAGACAATAACAATAGAAAAAAAATTACATTTGAATAGGTTTTTGTTAGAAAGTACTCAGATTTTGCAATCACAAATCTTTTGCTTATGTAATAAACTCTATATTTGTGCATTTATATACAACGTAAACAAAAGTTGGAGCATTATTCTAACACCGTATCCCTGATACTATATCGAGCCGAAAAATCTTTTATCATTTTTACATCAACAAATAATTATCGAGATATCATAACTTAAGATTGAAGATCTTCAATTATTCGTTGAAGGTAAAGCAATAAGAACTTTTCAGCTCACAATTTAATCCCGGGAAAACTTAGAATAATATCTCAATTTTTGCTTATTTCTGTAATCGTTTTTCCTTATATAACAGTCAAATAATATATAATTTAAATGTAAATTGTAAATATTAACAAAAAAACCTGAATATACAAAAGACTCCCGGTTATACGTATATGTAAATAAATTACAAGTTGTGATACTGATCACTTACTTATAATTAAAGCGCAGATTCATTTATATAAAGAACTATATCAAAAATGTTCATTCAGCTCGAGCGAAATAAGAATAAGAGCAATTGATTTTTAACAAACCTTAAGAGCTGTAAAATGTTTTATTTTTACATCAGATAAAACTTTAGATTTACTTGCTCGAGAATTGAGCGGATGATGATTTACTTTATTTATAAATGAAAAATCTAACAACCAGGAGTCACTTATATACATGACTATGTATAATCTTTATACAGAAAAGTCTTTTTTTCTTTTTTTCTACGAAATATGTAATCTATTAATTTTGAAAATACCTTGATAAGATATAAATCGAGATATTTTGTTTTACTTTCGAACATATATAATTATAATAAAGAAAAAAGTAACTATATAACAATTATGGCCGATTCAAACATATTCGTGTCGTATCCGTATTGTGCAGATATTTTGGGTGTGACAGATCATACAGTTCCACGTATTATCGTACTAATTCAATTAATTTTTCACTGTCCCTTCTTAAATGTGTTTTTGATGTCGCGGACTAATGCAAATGCAAAAAAGTTGAAAATATCGTCGCGGATATCGGACGTACGGATACGAAACGGATACGGCACGGATCTGTCTGAATCGACCTTTAATATTTATCACGCAATGCTGTACAAGCTGATTGTACGTTTATGACGAATTTATATTGCTTGTCTGATCTTTCGTCTGCAATTAGGACAAGAAGCCTGTAACATAAAGAACACAATTATATCTTCGTATAATTCAGAGGATTATACGTAAGTTAATGCATTTTTCAAATTTTACCCCAGGATCATATTTTCTCAATTCATTAATGCAATCTTTGTGAAAATTATGTTTACAAGGACGCAATTGCGTTACATCCGATTCAATTAATGCGTATTGGCAGATTGAACAATAGCTTATATCATCTTTACTCGTTGTTGGTTCTCTCCCATCTTTACTTTTTATAGAGTTTGATGAACTCCTTCTATTGAATGTCGTGCTAGAAATAAATATGTTTTGTAGAAGAATGCTTAGTGTAACACACTTTTTCCAATATCGTAATCTCACTATTCTACTAATAGGTAAAAGATAATCTTTGCTATTATGGATTTAATTGTCAAAAAATATATACGAGAAAAATTGTACATGCAAGAAGTGGAAAGTAAAAATATTAAGAAAAAGTTAGATAATAATCTCGAACGCAAATAACAATACATATATGCATGTATATTAAGATGGATACTTTTCAGCCTTATGCGACGATATCGACCAAGAGCGATCTTCATAAGAGCGATCCTCCGGCGGTCTCCCATTTCTAGAATACGAATGTTGCTGTCCCTCCTCGCGATTGTCGTTGAAACATAATACAGAAACGTCGCTAGTCCAATTCCAACTCCGACAAGGAGTACTAACCCGGATACGTCATTACGAAACTTAAGCAATACACTTATGACGAGTATACCTGTCGCTTGTTCTCATTTCTATTCTGTAATTTTGCAACATCGTGTTATTTATGAATATACATTCAACGGAGAAAGATTAACTACAGAATTCACCGTTCTGTATCAATTGACGCTAAGTAATCACTTTGTACAATAACAGAGCAAACCATCGTGTGAATATGTGCACGACTGCATATATATGTATTAAAAACCTAACATATCCTAACTTAATCTAACTTAACCTAACAGAGAAAATCATAGACATAACAATATATAGATGTAGCATTAGCTGCATGTCTACGAGGATAAGGGAGGTAATATAAGGGAGCCAATAAAATATAGACATAAGAATATATTCTTAGGCTTGTTCTTGATAGCTGAACTTTCTACACTAGTGTAATATACTGAAAATAAACAGATATATATTTAAGATTATAGCACAGATTAATAGACAGATCGCCAAAGGCCTGTCTAAAGAAGAGACCGTCATTTTTGCCTCTTACCGACACACTTTGCCTCTGGTTCGAGTCCAGGCTAATAAAATCTTTGACTTTACCAAAAAAACTTTGCGTTGCTACGAGTTCAGGCTAAAATCTTTTTA